TGCTCCAAGTGTCATCAAAACGGTATTTTTCGGGCTCAGTTTCATGTTAAATTTCTCTACCAAACAAACAATTCAAATTGTTCCAACCCACAACCAAAAATTGAAGGAAGAAGACACCGATTTTCGGAACTCAATGCAACCGATTTTTCTCTCTCAAATTAATGCAGTCGCGTTTTTCTCCTTTCACAACACAAATCACACACAAAACAGTTAGGGCAAATACACCATATATATATATATATATGTTAGGTTAGACTTTAGTTGGACCAATAAAAAGTCAAGATTCAAAGTCATCCAAGAAGTAATATATACGAGTCATGTGCAACATTAATTATTTAAGTTACTTCCTACGACCCACGTTGTTTTCGAGTTGAACTTTTGAACTTGGTTGTTTGTAACTATTTAATCCAACATTTACATCATAACTCGAAATTCATTGAATATCAAAATCCAGCAAATATTCCTAGATTTTTCGAATGTCGGTACTACAATTTAGTGTCAGCAGGTTAAAATCACGTTCGGCCGACACAATAGATATTTTTTCTCCAGCTAGTAAGTTAAATGATGAAGAATTATTTCCTTCACTGGACCCAGACTGACTTGTCCTATGAGTCTCTATGAAAACAGGCACTCTGGATATTGTCTTTTACTCTGCTGCAATTTCTATGTTGCTATTGCATGGTGTTATTACACACCATATGTTTCTCCACTTGCCTCTTTTTGACAGAGAAGAACAAGACAACATGCGGATCTTTTTTGTCCCTTGCATTGTTCTCACTTGGCCTACTACATCTTCAAAGCAAATCTTTGGGATTAAGATATTTTCGCAAGAAAATCACTTATGATCTTGATTCTATATTAAAATCACGTGCTATATTATGACCCTAGTTGAGTTTGACAAAAAACTAGATTTTTTGATATTTTGATAAAAGTTGATGAAATGTGTAGTTGTAAAGTTGATAAAAATTGTGGATTTTATGAAATATGTGATCGAAAATGAGTTTTAGAAAATATGGGCCAAACATGTTCTATATTAATATCAAGCGCATTATATTATGCTTCTGTTTGGATTTGGCTAAAAATTAGATTTTTTTTGGAGATTTTAATAAAAATCGATGAAATGCTTGATTGTAAAGTTGATAAAAATTGCGGGTTCTATGAAACGTGTGGTGCGAAATGAATTAAAAAATGGGGGCAAACAGGGACTACAATTACACTAGACGATTNGTGTGGTGCAAAATGAATTAGAAAATGGGGGCAAACGGGGACTACAATTACACTAGACGATTCAACTCAACGTCAAGAATTTTTCTCTAGGCAGTGATGGACTTCTTACTTTTCTTGAAAAGTGAAGTGTGTGTACTAGGAGGATACATGCGTAGGCATATGGCTTAAAGAAAGTCTAAATTGTTCAATTTGTCCTGCTTGTGCATAATTCTTGCTTCTACCATTGCTGAACTTTGGTCAATAGACGTGCTAAAGATGATAAAAATGGTAGCCTAAGTGGTCAATTATCATCCATGTCATTGAATTCCATTCAAATAATGCAGTTGCATGGCATAAACCCATTTTACCCCGTGTTTGGTAGCCATTACCTAAGTGGTCAATTTTCATCCATTTCAATGCAAATAATGCAGTTGCATGGCATAAACTCATTTTACCCCGTGTTTGGTAGCCATTACCTAAGTGGTCAATTTTCATCCATTTCAATGCAAATAATGCAGTTGCATGGCATAAACTCATTTTACCCCGTGTTTGGTAGCCATTACCTAAGTGGTCAATTTTCATCCATTTCAATGCAAATAATGCAGTTGCATGGCATAAACTCATTTTACCCCGTGTTTGGTAGCCATTACCTAAGTGGTCAATTTTCATCCATTTCAATGCAAATAATGCAGTTGCATGGCATAAACTCATTTTACCCCGTGTTTGGTAGCCATTACCTAAGTGGTCAATTTTCATCCATTTCAATGCAAATAATGCAGTTGCATGGCATAAACTCATTTTACCCCGTGTTTGGTAGCCATTACCTAAGTGGTCAATTTTCATCCATTTCAATGCAAATAATGCAGTTGCATGGCATAAACTCATTTTACCCCGTGTTTGGTAGCCATTACCTAAGTGGTCAATTTTCATCCATTTCAATGCAAATAATGCAGTTGCATGGCATAAACTCATTTTACCCCGTGTTTGGTAGCCATTACCTAAGTGGTCAATTTTCATCCATTTCAATGCAAATAATGCAGTTGCATGGCATAAACTCATTTTACCCCGTGTTTGGTAGCCATTACCTAAGTGGTCAATTTTCATCCATTTCAATGCAAATAATGCAGTTGCATGGCATAAACTCATTTTACCCCGTGTTTGGTAGCCATTACCTAAGTGGTCAATTTTCATCCATTTCAATGCAAATAATGCAGTTGCATGGCATAAACTCATTTTACCCCGTGTTTGGTAGCCATTACCTAAGTGGTCAATTTTCATCCATGTCATTGAATTCCATTCAAATAATGCAGTTGCATGGCATAAACTCATTTTACCCCGTGTTTGGTAGCCATTACCTAAGTGGTCAATTTTCATCCATTTCAATGCAAATAATGCAGTTGCATGGCATAAACCCATTTTACCCCGTGTTTGGTAGCCATTACCTAAGTGGTCAATTTTCATCCATGTCATTGAATTGAATTCCATTCAAATAATGCAGTTTCATGGCATAAACCCATTTTACCCTGTGTTTGGTAGCCATTTTCAGTTGATTTGTAGAAAAATTATATCCGTTATACAGCAAAGAAGCAGTTGCAACTTTTGACCAAACCTAGCAAAATTATCAATTTGCCCCTTCACATAAATTCTTCTTGAGATGAATGGCAATTCCGTATTTATGCTACCTATGCTATCAGAATACACTGCACCACTAGGGCCCACTTGACAAGAAAAAGGGTCAAAAATTGCATTTCTCTTTTGGGCCCGAATGCCTACCAAAGAGGGGCTTAATTTTAGCTTCTGCATAGTCCTTCACGTGTTCACTTGGAATCACAAAAATGATAGTCCAACTTGTCCACAATCTAACAAAAAAAAAAAAAAAAAAAAGAGGTCTAAAAAGAAATTTCTTTTTCTTTTTCTTTTTAATTTAATTTATTATTTCCTTTTATTTTATTATTTTAAGTTGAAAAATGTAAGCTTATCATTATATCCTTTCTAAATATGGTTAAATTATGGTCAAATAACAGATTTTGAAAGAATATCGTACATTTTTGAAAGATTTGGAATATATCTGTTACGATATAAATGTGTGTGACCACATTGTACTTTTTAAAAAGGTTTGAGACCTTCATTGCAAAATTTCATAAATGTTTTACCAAACTCATCATCATCAAGCACAAAATTAACCTTGAAACTGAGGCCACGTGTCAATCGTTTCACACGTGTGCACACGCGCTTACTTGTCTACGCAGGCACCTGGATTTAAAGCATTTTAGGTACCAAAAACATACGCAATAACTGTATCGCCTTTAGAGCAGAAATTTCTTTGGTTCTGTCTGCATGGCTGTGATATGCATTTCTTGTAAAGCTTCCACGAGGATTCGTCTTCGAATTCTCTCTGTCTTTGTCCCTGGCCGTGCTATCTCTCTGCCACCCGGAAAATCTTTCGACAACCATTACTCTTTTTTTGTCTTTACGTCCTTTTATGCACCGATTCATAGTTTTCATTCTCTATTGAGAGTCTTTTGTAATTTCCGAGAGCTTTTTTGAAGTTTTTGATCAAATTCGGTAAGGCCCATCATCTATGTTGCATTGCATTATATTGCTTTGATTTTGTTTTTCTTGAATAGTTTGCGCTTTTTTGAGTGGCAATTTGATATAGGTTTTCGAGTTTATTTCTTGTTTAAAATAGAATACTTGACGTGATTGAAGTTGATGTTGATTTTTACTTGATTCTTAAAGCTCTAAATTCCGCTATATATATGGTTTTAAATTTACTTCTGGCTGGTCTTAAACTCCATGATTTTTCCTGCATGCAATCTGTTTGTGTTTTAATCCGTTGTAAAATCTACTGCTAAAAATCTCAGTTTTATCTTCTTTCCTCTCTAGCAATTGGTTATGCATGTATGTACGTATATGTTCACAGATTCGTACACCGTACATCACACTTTAATAATCTCTTCTTTTGTCGTATTGACAGAACTTAGGATACTTCATGAATTCATACAACGTGGGTGGTTAAAATTTTCGAAACTAGTGTTGGGGCATTCATGGTAGACCCCTTTTTCCCCCTCACACTTAAGACACCTAGGGCAAAAGAGTATATCTCTTTCTTTATACCTGTCTATCTTTTCTGGTTTTGATTTTGATTGGTAAGTATGCAGAATGCCTTGAAATATCGACAGTCACTAGGAAAATGAAAAAAACAAAAAAAAAAAGAGAGAGCCAATACTACTACTATAGAATCGTTTACTTAATAACAGTGTTCTAAAATGCGCGCAAATGCTCCGCCTAGGCGCGACGCGCGGCCAAAACTCGTCGAATTCGGGAATGCGCCGGAAAATGCGTTTTCCATTTAAAAGGCGGCGCAATGAGCGCGCCTTATCCCGCCTAGGCGCGCATTATGTCGCCCATTTTTTTTTCTTTTTCTTTTTTGTAAAAAATCTATTTTTTTTATATATAGGCGCGCATTATGCTGCCCAATTTTTTTTTTTTTTTTTTTGTAAAAAATCTATTTTTTTTATATAAAAATATATTTAATGCCTTTAAAATACGAAACGCATTATAGCACTTATTCTTCGCATTCACACGCCTAAATTTGTGATTCTTGATTCTCGGCATCGACGCACACAACGCATTACGAATTTTAGAACACTGCTTAATAATGGTTCATGTTTACAAGAATTCTGGCGCTATTGCTTCTCAATTTGTGCTAATCAAATGCAGGGCAATTGCTTTGGGGGACACTCGAACTGTATTAAACTCCCATTTAGGAGGTCTTGTTCTGAACTGCCCTTATGCCTGGGAACAAGTATAATGACATTAACTCACAAGTCCCCTACAATCGAGTGGCGAGGCTCGTGAGAGAAAGAGAGCTGAGAAGAACCAGCCGAGCTTCTTCTCCAAATGATGTTACTGATGGCAAAAGAGGGACTGAGATCTCTGGACAGGATATTTCATTACCTCCCAACCTGGAAAGATATTTGGAAGAAGCTGCAGCGCAGGCGATTAATGGGGCACGAGAAAGGTCTGATGAAAGGCCTAACCGACAGAGATTGTTAGTGGTTGCTAATAGACTTCCTGTATCTGCAGTTCGGAGAAGTGAGGATTCATGGTCACTAGACATAAGTGCGGGGGGTCTAGTAAGCGCTCTTCTCGGTGAGCATTTTGTCTGATTTCTTCATTTTTGCATCACTTGTTCGTTCCATTCTAGCTAGGAACCTAACTATGGGTTTACCTGTTCTTTTCTTCCACTTTTGGTCTCAAACCTGTGTCACTTAATGTAGGCATGAAGGAGTTTGAGGCACGATGGATTGGGTGGGCAGGTGTAAATGTGCCAGATGAGATCGGGCAGAAGACCCTCACTAAAGAGCTGGCTGAGATGGTGAATAATCGCGTTTTTTTGGTGTCACTTAATTCTTCAAAACACTGGGGTTGTTCTCTTCTTGTTTCAGTTTTTAGTTTTGAAATTTGAATTCATTTTGTGTTTTGTGTTTTGAGTGTCCATTTTGAGATTATTGAAAATGCGTTCATTTTGTTATTTTGAAAAATTATTTTCAAAAATAAAAAAATGAAGTTTTGATTTGGTTTTAACTGAAAACAGTCAAAGCGACTTTTTTGGCGTTTTCAGTTTTCTTTGTAAATTTTAAACTCGTTTTTAGAAATTCATTTCTGAAAATAGATAAGTAACGTGTTTTCAGTGTTTTTGAAAACTGAAAACGGCCTTAAAATAGTAAAAAGAACGGACCTTGAGAATTTCTGATCCTGGAAGCATAGATGTTAGATTTTGCTGTAGAATAATTGTGGACAACATTACTGTTTTAATTCTTTCGTCACTCACTGCAGAGGTGCATCCCTGTTTTCCTAGATGAAGAAATTGTTCATCAATATTACAATGGCTATTGCAATAACATATTGTGGCCTCTCTTCCACTACCTTGGTCTTCCCCAAGAAGATCGACTTGCGACTACCAGGAATTTTCAGTCACAATTTGCTGCGTATAAGAAAGCAAACCAAATGTTTGCTGACGTTGTTAACAATCACTACGAAGAGGGTGATGTTGTTTGGTGCCATGACTACCATCTTATGTTTCTTCCCAAATGTCTTAAGGAATACAACAGCAAAATGAAAGTTGGGTGGTTTCTCCACACACCCTTTCCATCATTTGAAATCCACAGGACTCTACCCTCTCGAACAGAGCTTCTACGTGCAGTTCTAGCAGCTGATTTGGTTGGGTAAATCTGTAGTATCAAATCAAATGTATAACACTGAGCTTTTTATACTGTCTGCAATCAGAATTGGGATGGCATGTATTGCAGTTACTGCTGGAGCTCTCCTAGGATCAATTTTGCTTATATATAATAATTTCTGATAATGATTAATGAATTTCACAAAAAAATTTCTGTTCAATGTCTCAAAATCATTACTTTCAAAACCCAATAATTTAGATTTTTGGCAGTTTCCTTAGTTTTGTTATATGATATTTTATAGAGTGCTTGTTGGTGTCAACTAAATTATTTGATTTTGTATGTCAACTAAGACATATAACGATGTAAAAATGCACATCTTGATTAGTAAAAATCAAAATAGTCCACCATGATAAAGTAATCTTATATGACGTGTTTTTGTTATATCTTAGGATCAAATTATATTTAAGGTTCTATATGTAATCCCTGTATCAAGTTACCTGCATAAATCATTTTGTTTCTTGATTCTCTCGCGAGGGCAATTTCCCCTATTATCATGCCTTTAACTATTGTTTTCTTCTTTATATACCCCAAATTGATTAATCAGTCTTAACAGGTGAGACTCCATTTTCATATTCACCATATATTTTACTCTTTATACACTGTTTATTTTGCTGAAATCTGATGGTTGCAGACCTGGTTTTATGTGTCATTAAGGCTTTCGTGTAGAATCACTAATCCATCATTTTTTTTCCTTGTTCCAGTTTCCACACATACGATTATGCAAGGCATTTTATTAGTGCCTGTACTCGTATTCTTGGACTTGAAGGTACCCCTGAAGGAGTAGAGAACCAAGGGAAGCTAACTCGTGTTGCTGTGGTCTGTATACATTGCCCTGTTGTTGATGAACAATTTGTTCCTTTTAGATTATTTTTTACGCATAGGTGTTGCATGTTTGGCCTATAAAATTTCTATACTAATCGATGAATAAGTCATCCTTGTCTCATACTGTTTCTCTATATTGGTGAATCCAGTTCCCCATAGGTATTGATTCAGATAGGTTCATTCGAGCACTTGAAGTCCCTCAAGTCCAGGAGCACATCAGAGAATTAAAAAAAAGATTTGCTGGAAGAAAGGTTTTGTTCTCCCTTCTCTCTCTCCGTCAACCCCCTCCCCCAAGATTGCAGTGTCTGTCTAGTAATTGATGTTTTAGTTGATAAAAATTTGGGTCCTTTCATTAATATCATCAGTAAATCTCAAAGAGAGAAGTTCAAGTCCACTGATTCAAGAAACTTCTACTCATTAGCACTTCTTATGAGTTTGAGTAAAACTTGATTCTTTTCTATTCTTCCGCATCTCCTTCCATCTGTAGCTCGTGTGATTCTTCTTGGAAGTTATTAAACATGTTTTGTTCATTAACTTCAAGTATTATGTATTCTCAAAGGTGATGCTTGGTGTGGATCGCCTTGATATGATCAAGGGAATCCCTCAGAAGATCCTAGCATTCGAAAAGTTTCTTGAGGAAAACCCATACTGGCGTGATAAGGTGGTTTTGCTGCAAATTGCAGTGCCAACAAGAACTGATGTTCCTGAATGTATGGTTTTCAGAAGGCTTACCCTTACTTCCTTTCACCTCCCTTATATTCTCCAGTCAATTTACAAGGTTTTATTTCTTTTATTCCTAGGACGATTTCATTTCGTTTACTCTTATTTTTTCTCCACAGATCAAAAACTTACAAGCCAGGTTCATGAAATTGTTGGATGTACAAACGGAAGATTTGGAACTTTATCTGCTGTTCCAATTCATCATCTAGTGAGTATATACCCATCAAATGTCCATAATTTAAGTTTATGCTGCTTAAATATGCATGTGTTGCAAAAATTTAAATTTTGCTTAAATATGCATGTGTATGCAAAAATTTAAATTTTAGATGATTATTTTCTGCTGACTAAACACATTAATTCCAACTTTGTCAACATTTCCTCTACTATGCCCTGTTTGATGCATTATTATAAGAAAATAAAGTTTTGAGTAGTAATTTTTTGGAGAATGTGTGGTTAACAAGTAGGTAAAATTTTTGGATTTACATGCAAAATATTTTATTGCGTAAATGTGTGGTTGAAAATGAATATGATTTAAAGAGGTGGAATGAGGAGGTGGTGGGCAAAGTGAACTTTCGTAAAATCCAGTGTTTCAGACATTGAAGAGTTGGATAAGCTTGCGAAGAGTTGAGGGTTGGATGGGGAGGAGAAGGAGAGACATAGAGTATTAAGGGAAGAGATAGTGAGGTTGGTGGAGATGGAGGAGATTGCTTGGCGCCAAAAATCTAGGGTCACGTGGTTAAAAGAAGAGGACAAATGCACTAAGTTCTTCAATAGGGTCGCCAATTCTAACAGGCGTAACAATTATGTCACAGTGTTGGAGGTAGATGTGGTTACTTATGAGGATCCACAGGATATTGGGACCCATATGGTGAGATTCTATCATAATTTATATCGAGAGCAGTTTAAGTGGAGGCCAGAGTTGGAGGGATTGGAGTTTTCTACTATTATGGAAAATGATGCTGGTTGGTTGGAGAGACAATTTGGGGAGGATGAAATTAGGGAGGTGGTGTTTAGTATGAATGTTGATAAGGCTCCAGGACTAGATGGTTTTTCGTTCTCATTTTATAAGGCATGTTGAGAGGTGGTGCGACATGATATTATTGATGTTTTCACTTACCTTTTTTAGTGTGGCAGGTTTCTGAGAAGTTCTAACGCCACATTTATCGTACTGATACCTAAGAAATCGGGAGCGACCGATATTAAGGATTTTCGCTCTATTAGCTTAATCAGTGGGGTGTACAAGATTATTGGGAAAGTCTTGGCAAATAGACTTAGGGAGGTGCTAGGGAAAGTGGTGTTTGAGTTCCAGAATGCCTTCGTGAAAGGTCGACAGATATTGGATTTTATACTAATAGCGAATGAATGCATTGACTCAAGACTGCGCCTAGGGGTTCCAGGGATGCTATGCAAGCTTGATATTCAGAAGGCTTATGATCACATGAACAGGAGGTTCCTCCTGTATATGCTTAGGCGATGTGGATTTGGGAATAAGTGGTGTAAGTGGATTCAGTTCTGTATCTCAACTGTTTCATTCTCAGTTCTGGTTAACGGTACCCTTGAGGATTATTTTCGGAGCAGCAGAGGATTGAGGCAAAGGGATCCATCGTCTCCTTGTTATTGTAATGGAGGCTCTCAGTGGATGCTCGAGAAAGCGATGTGGGAGAATTTGATAAAGGGTTTTACGGTTGGTCAATTGCAGGTATTCTATCTGCTATTTGCTGATGACACACTGATTTTATGTGACGCAGATGATGAGCAATTCAGGAACTTACGTCAGTTGCTCCTATGCTTTGAAGTGGCGTTTGGATTGAAGATAAATCTGGAAAAATCATTCCAGTAGGGGAGGTCACTAACGTGGAGGAACTAGCTGTTACATTGGGTTGTGGGGTTGCACAGTTACCTATGTCATATCTTGGACTCTCTTTAGGAGCGCGGTTTAAGAGTATTAATATTTGGAACGCTATTGTGGAAAAGGTGGAAATGAGGTTAGTGGGGTGGAAGCGTATGTATCTCTCGAAGGAAGACCGTCTTACTCTCATTAAACCTACTTTATCAAATATCCCTACTTATTTTTTGTCACTATTTCCTATTCCTGTTGCAGTAGCAAATAGATTAGAAAGGATTCAAAAGGAATTTCTTTGGGTAGGATTGGGAGAGGAAAGGAAACTTGATTTGATTAATTGGGGAGTTGTTTGCTCCCTATGAGGATGGGGAGCCTCGGTTTGAGGAGGCTTATTTTGTTTAACAAGGCATTATTGGGCAAATGGTTGTGGCGGTTTGGAGTGGAGAGGGAGAGTTTCTGGAGAAAAATCATTGGGGCGAAGTATGGTGTGATAGAGGGGGCTGGTGTTCGGGTGAAGGTCGTGGGTCTTACGGGGTGAGTTTGTAGAGGTATATTCGACGGGGATGGAACGACTTTCGGGATATATTAACTTTTGTGGTGGGGAACGGTAATAATATCAGATTTTGGGATGATTGTTGGTGTGGAGATATATCGCTGTAGGTGGGGTTTTCCTTCCCTACATTGCATATTATGGTGTCTTCTATTATGGTGAATGACATTTTAGCTATTCATAATGGGAGTTACAATTGGAATGTTACTTTTCAGAGGGGTTTGCAGGATTGAGAATTGGATGATTATGCATTATTTCTAACCTCTTTGTATGAGGTGCAAATTCGGGTAGAAGAGGACGATCGTAGTCGATGGAGGTTGGCACGGAATGGTATTTTTTCAGTTCGATCTTATTTTAGATCTCTTTTGGGACCTGTGGAGAGTTCATTCCCCTGGATGATGGTGTGGCAATGTAAATTGCCTCCACGGGTGACATTTTTACTGTGGACAGTTGTGAGGGGACATACATTAACGATGGATAATCTCCGAAGAAAAGGATTTTATGTAATTGAGTGATGCTATTTGTGTAGGAGTGATGGAGAGACGCATGACCACTTATTCATTCACTGTGATGGTGTTCGCTGGCTGTGGAATAGTATTGTGGCTTCTCAACATATAGATTGGGTGTTGCCTAGACGTATAGAAGACGTGTTGCGGGCATGGAAAAGAAAGCTTCGTGACAAGGATAGTAAACTTGTATGGAATCTTATACCGGGATGCATCGTATGGTGTGTGTGGAGAGAAAGGAACAACCGATGCTTTGAAGATCAAACACGAAACACAGAACAAATTAGAGAACTATTTTATCCGACTTTGTATACTTGGTTTATTGGCTAACAATCCTATAGAGGGGTTGCCTAACTTCATGTCTTTTCTTTCTTATTTAAGTTGATAATACACTTCCTGCGTATTCTTCTTTGATTAATAAAATTATCTGATTACCTATAAAAAAAAAATGAATATGAGAATCAAAGAATTTTGAAATAATGGTTATCAAACGGGGGCTATAGCTCTTTGTGCAGATACGTCAAAATATACTTCTCTATTAAATCTCTCAAATATCAGTAGTTTTGAATATCATGTCAATTTTAGTCCATTCTTTGGTAAAGCAAACTCAAAATAATATGTGCAAACTGAATTATATACTCAGCCGTCTTTACGACTTTTATCTATGGCATGCTAGTCATATGTAATGCATGATTTGTATCATGTACATTATTGAGATATTTGAATCAAATTGTTATTTGTCCGCAGGATCGTTCTCTTGACTTTCATGCCTTATGTGCACTGTATTCTGTTACTGGTAAGTGGCATGGTTATCATAGCCCAGACTAGATTCTTACATTTGTTTTATTCTCACAAAGCAAAATATTTCTGGCAGTTTCCATATGTTATAACGACAAAAATGTTCTTGGCTCGGCCAAAAAAATGGGGATCAAAAGATTGGGCTTCATGCTTTTTCTTCCAAATGTTTGCGTCATCTTGAGTTTCAACTGTACAGTTATCTTTAATGCATGAACCTTAATGCAACTGGCTCAGTGGCTTTGGTCATTCTATATGATGTAGCTGGCTTTCTTGGTTTTGTCAGGCATCTTAATTATGTAATTTGGACCATTATTTCTTTAATTTTGTCACAAAGTGCTCTGTATAAATATTCAGCCTTTTTGAAGGTGGGGAACTTAAAATTTTGAACAGTTTTCCTTTTTCCAAATTTAGATTTTGGGTTCTGCACCACGCTTGAGCACTACGAAATAGACTAGATTCTTCTATACTCATAGTTTGGCAGGAAGCACAGAATAAAGACTCAGCTTGAAAGTAGAGAGAGCTCAATTGTGATACAATTTACTCTTTACCAATTAAAATTTTATTGCCTCAAATTTAAATGCTAAAAATTTTAATATAATGTTAGTTAATTACACTGTAGCCTGCCTAAACCTGCACTAAACCAGCCTGATGACATTTTTGATGTTTGCTTGATGCGTCAGATGTAGCACTTGTCACATCTTTGAGGGATGGAATGAATCTCGTCAGCCATGAGTTTGTGGCGTGTCAAGATTCCAAAAGAGGAGTTCTCATTCTCAGTGAAGTAATTACCACACTCTCCAATTTTATTGGCACTTAGCTTTTATTATTTCATGACAATTTGCAGTTTGATTGCCAACACACAAATTACTATTTTTAGTGCTACAAAAGGTTTCCACTTGTTTTATGAAAGGAAATAAGTACGAGGTCAAGTATTTTAATTTTTTATAAGATCAATACTGGTATTGTGGTATTTGTCTCTCTTCAGTTTTATTTTTATTTTTTTCAAAAGTTGCTTAAAATACAAAAAATTAAATTTTCAGAACCATATGATGTTTAAATCAATCTCCACCTATCATGTAACTTTTTGATATTTCCTATTGTCTTGTTATATTACTCGATTTCCACATTCCTTTTGGTATTATTTCAGTTTGCAGGAGCAGCACAGTCTCTTGGTGCTGGAGCAATTCTTGTAAATCCTTGGAACATCTCAGAAGTAGCTGCTGCCATAGGCCAAGCTTTGAATATGCCTGTTGAAGAAAGAGAGCAACGTCACCGCCATAACTTTGACCACGTGACAAATCATACTGCTCAACAGTGGGTTAAGTTCTTCGTAAGGTGGGTGAAAGTTAAGAGGTCAGAATAATTATCTTGTGACTCCGTAAGACTTTGAGAAGTGTCCTTTTGCTTGATCAGCTAAATTCAAAAGACTTTAACTGGAATAATGCTGCTCAAAATTTAATAAATTTCCATGTTTAGGTTCAATTATCCTTTTTAAATATTTTTACTCATTTTGAGCTTAAACTGACTCAAATAATTTGGATGTATTCTTTCTTGTGTTGAATGTGGAGTGGAAATGAAGTTTAGGAGCATTTTTTGTTCTTACCTTAAATTACAATATCAACTACACAGAGAACATCCATGCTTACTTTATTGAGTAAATGCTGTACATAACTAGGAACACTAGGAATTGTTTGAGTTCTTGTAGTTTCCAAGACATCCTCTGCAGGCAATGAAAAACTTGAGATTAAATTATCTATGGTTTTGTAGTTTTAGACTAATGAACCAGATATGAAATAAACCTATTAAAATACTCCCATCTTTCTCTTCAAGAAGCAGAAATGTCTTATATCAAAAAAAAAGTTGGACCAATGGCATTTCCATAATAAAATGAGTTCGGCTTTTGTCATCAAACATTATCAACAGGACATGATGGTGGTGGGGATCTTTTTTTTTTACCCCCACAAAGCTAGTAGTTCGGCGGCGAGTTATTTGATGTAAGGAAGCAGGTTAGGTACATCCTTGTTGCTTTTTGAAATGACTTGGTTCTTGAGATTGAGTTCGATTTACAGAGGCTTCAGATTAGATATGCTTTACAGGTTCAGAAAGAAAACGGTAGTTATGTCTGAACCAGGTTTTAGGATTTTGAAAAAAATCGTGTTTATCTCCAAGTTCTTTTGTGTCTTTGCTTGATTCTGGAGTGGAAATCCAATTCCGCAGGGAAATAATAAGACGGTTATGCATGCACATAGCCTTGTCGTGTTCTTGTTAAGTGAAGGTACAAGGATGAGAAGATTGGATAGTTACTAAAGAATTGAAACTTTGGGTTGCTGTCGAATTTGAACCACGACATTGCATTAGCCCAGTTTTTTACTTCTATGATAGGCAACTCCCCCTCCTCCGTCCTTGTTTTCTTCAATTTTTTTTAAAGCTCTGTTTGTCTTAAATTAAGTGCATGACAGTGGAAGCTTAAATTTTCAAGTGCTTACAAGTTATGGGATCTATGGAATGCGTTGATAAGTAGGTAGTAAGTTGTTGGTCTTACAAAATATGTTGGATAAAAAATATGTTTAACCAACCTAAATTAAAATTTAAGCTTTGCCAAACATACACTGAGTAGATAATCATTTCGCTTCTTGCATCCATCACGATTGGAAAGAAGAAGAAAAGGATAAATTATTAGTAAGTTGTATTTAGACTGAGAGAGAAATTACCCCACCTGCTTTAACCCGAATAAATATGAACAGGCCTGTTTTCCTTACATATATTGCCATACTTAATGACATGAGACCTACTTCTTTGCCAGTCTAAAGTTTATTATGATATCCTCGAGGCCATATAGACCATTTATGGTTTGTGGTACAGGGCATTGAGTAAGTAAAAGACAAAATGTCTTTAAAGGCAACTTAGCAAAGATGAGGATGATAAGTTGGAAATGTGACCGAATGGATAGACAAGAATTGAGAATTTACGTCAACAAGTGTAGGTGAAACCAATAAATCAGGGGAATGATTATTTAGGTTGTTGAGGCATGGCTTCTGTAGACCTGAAAAAGCTCATGCTCACAACAATAGCATGCTCGGAGAGGGAGAGCTATTCCACAATTAACGTTTTGTGACTATGATAAAGCAAAGGATTTAATTGCATGTATCTTCTGTTAGATGCAGTTATTGATGGAACTAAGTGGTGATAAATGATTCATATAGTCAAATCTGAATTTATTGGATTAAGGGTTTGTTGCCTGATATTCTTATCCTCAAAATAGTTTAGACTATCTATGTTTTGTCATAAACAAGTGTTGGGCTGTTAAAGGACAAGACATTCATAACATGGACGTGTGAACATAGCAGAATAGATAATATAAAGAATAGATGCGATAAAACAGCTGGATATATTAACAAGTGGAGGTAGAACCAATAGAGGTTAAAGCAAGGTCAATTTAAGTGGCTGGAGGAGGAGAAGACAGAAGAGAAGGTAAGGAGAAAGAACCGTGAGAAGAGGGAGGGGAAAGGGGAATTAGGCAGAGAATTTCTTTCGCTTTCAATAATCAAGTTTGTCTAATACAACAACATTAACCCTCTAGGGTTTAACTTGACCTAATTGAAGTAAGAAACACAATAAAGAAATGAAACCTGATCTTAGTCAAAATAGAAATTACAATAATTTGAAATAAAAGTAACTCTAATTTGGCAAGTCCTTAATATAATATATTTAGAATCTCCATGACTTGCGGGATGTTTAAATATTTAGGTAACGAGGTGTTTCATCTCTGTGAGGTGAAGCATTGAGTCGTAGGTCTCAAAACAAATGGATAAACAAAGAATATAAAGTACAAAGATATTTTTGTTGAAATCACGAGAATATTACATTCCTTAAGTAATATTGTATATTTAGGCAACTCGTAATTAGGAGATTCATTAGCATATTTAGATTATTGCCTTTCCTTTTTTTCTTATCTTTTGTTTACTATTTAAAGAGGTAATTAGGTTGTATTGATATGTCGATATAATAAAAAAAGGGCTTTCCTGCTTGTACTCATCTGTTTTCAATTTTGTTGAGTCGTAGGTCTCATAATTGTTGTTTTTTTGTTTTAATTTGTTTCCATACGTGCCACCTATTCCTTTTCCACCACATACTTGCATTTTTATATCTACATACCCTATTTGTTATTCTCCCAGCAGAGCTACAATTTATGGACCACTATACGAAACCGGATTAGGATCCAGAATATGTTGAATTTGTACAATAATGCTTACAAAACCCAATTCTCCTCCAGGGAGTACGAGGTCCTGGTCTATGTGAGTCCCTTACCCCATACGAATCCTCTTGCAAAGGTAGTTGAAATCCAATAGCCTATCTGATGCAACCAAGCTGCACTTCCTCATTCATACAGGTTGTTTATATTCTGCCTCCGCAGTTACGCTTGCTCCCATGGTTGTAACCTTCCTGAAGTGGTGGGGATTGCCTTCAGACATAAAGGAAGAGGCTTGACCCCCACCCAGCTAGAAGTGGCTTTTTCTAGTTATCGTAAGGAGACCTACAATATAATATCTTTAAATTATCCGTAATAAAATAAGTTAACAAAACTAAAAGTCTAACTTGCATAAATATAAAATAGATCTATAAATTTCAAATAATAAGTTCTCTAATTAGTAATTTCATAACAAAATAAGCTGATGCTAGAAGTAGAAACTATTGGAAATTATGACACTAATTTATTTGTATAAAAGTAAAAGAAAAAGAAGGGTTGGATCAATGGCCTAAAGACCAAGATTGAAGTTTATGGGCCTAAATATGGTTCTTTCAAAGTTCTCTAACCAAGTGATATATAAAAAGGTAAGCTAAATCACCTGAGTAAAGTTGCCAGCTGCTGGATCAATTTATGGCTTGAAACAACAGAAAAAAAATAAAGGGTTTGGGAATTATAACTTACAAAATGTTAGGTTTGAAGCTTATCAATATTGCACCTTGGTAGAATTATAAGGATATGGAACAAAGAAAGAGCAATTCATGCGGCATTGAAGACTCTGGCCAAAGAGAGAAGAAAGGAAAGAAAGCGCATGTGTGCCAGAATGCACTCGTTAGTGTGTGTTAAGTGTAATAGTTTTACTTAGAAAGAGGGCAGCACATGACAAAGAGTACACAGAGTTGTGTAGAGAGAGGAAAATGAGGCTAGATAAACTAGAAAAACTGTATGTGCGGCGTATGTTGAGTGCTAGTTTGTGCAGGGACAGGTTGAAAAAATCTTTTGCAGATCTATGATAATATCAATTGTTGATTCTTATACTTCATTCTATCTACTTTCTTCTTATCCGTAATAGCAAGACCATTCCTTTATTCTTTTATTCGAATACATGCCGGCTATGTCACTATCATACATGATCTAAAATGAAGTTCTTATTTGAAAATGGATCTTTTAGGCTAGACCTGATTCTATTTTACCATGATTTGATGTCGTCAAAACTATTCTTATCTAACCGAATTCTCCTTCTCCCTTGGTTTTCAATGGTTACATGAACCTGTTTAGTTAGTGTTTTCTCCTTTTTACTATCATTTTTCATTTTTTGTTGCATGCTTGGACATTTTTCCCAACAAGTGGTTTCAAAGTCCACACTTCAAACTCTAAGATTGTGATGAAGATGATGTCAAGCTCAAAGTTTTTAGTGGAGTTGTGGTGATGGAGCCACTATGGGGTGGAGCTTGGGTGATCGAATCACACAAAGGAGGATCTTCTATTTTTGCTCATCATCATCATCAATTTTGTCTCATTTCTTCTTGACAATATCGTCCACTTGCACTAGTAGCGTCTTCTCTTTTCCATTTTCCATGAAGGAAGAAAGATGAAAACAAACCAAAAAAAACCAACAAAAGATTATATGTTACAAAATTACCAAAAAAATCGTGAGGCCAATAATAAGATGCCTAGAAAAGGCAAGACAAACAGATGAACACTTAGGGCCTGCTTGGGAGTTTTAGAGTTCCAATGGGGTTTCTTAAAGTATCCATGTTTAGAGTTCATTATCCAACGGTTCCGAGTTCTTTATAATAATAAAATTACACATGACCCTTAGTGAAATTTTCATAATTTGTTTGTATGAAATGATTTATTCCTAAGTGATATTTTATTTTATAAGTAATTTTTCACGTGTAAGTTAATTTACTTAAATAGTAAAATATTTACTAATAATTAAAAAATTTTAAGTTGTAAGTAAATTTTATAGTTATACGTTAATTTTTACAGTTATACGTTAATTTTTTATTTTTAAATATTTTTTATACATAGTTGAATTTTGTTACTTGTAACTTTTATATATTGTAAGTGAATTTTTGTCTTATTAGTAGTATTTTACTTTATAAGAAATTTTTTACGTAAAAAAAATGAAATTTTATCTTCTAATTATTTATAAGTAATTTTTTAGTTATAAAGTAACTTTTTAGCTTATAAATAAATTTTTAATTATTGTATTTTGGTTTACAAGTTAGTTTTAAGCAAAATATATGGGTTGGAAATAATTATTTTATAGAGGGTAATATGAATGAGAATTTGTGAAACGGTCGAAACCTATCGACTTGGTAAGTTGAAAAATATGGCCAAAATTACAATACACTGATTTTGGATGGTTAAAACTAACAAGCACCAGTTTTTTCAGCCTCTCACGAACGGTGCAACCCAATAACTGTCAAAATCGATGAAGAAAAAACTCCCAAGCAGGCCCTTAAGTTTCCCGTAAGTTGTAAGTCTCACAAATCGCATTTAATGAGTACATTTGAGGCATTTAACAAACACTTCACATGAAGCAGATTATGGTGAAAGCTTCACGTGGAGCAAGACTCCTTCAAAGACACACAAGAACAATGATATGCTAGTAGAGCATATTAAATGAGGAAGGTTAGAATCAAATCAACATGACCTAATGTGGTTGCTAACGATTTGATTGCATTGGATCTTCCAATAAATGTAGCAATGCATCGGATGTAGTTGGGAAAAAGATACATGTATCCGAATTCAAATATAAGGCTTAGTTTGTTGTAGTCCTCAAGATTGCCTTAATCTAATCAATGCAAGATATACCTTTACTGTTGTTAGCACATGAAATTGACTTAAGCAATACAGCCAAACGTGGTCTGAAGTGTGACTTTGGGCCAACAATCTGTATAGTTTTTACTGCTATCACCCTATATGGGAGCATTTTTGGGGAAGTCAGGGAAGTATTGTCACCCACTTCTTAGATTTTTAGGCTTTGGGCATCTATCTTAGTACAGAGTGGAAATGCAGAAAATTCTGACAAACATAAACTGAAGAGTATACATAATAACCTGGAGTATAAATTTGTGGCACATGTTTCTTGTTAAAAAAAAATAATAATAATAATCCAAAAGAAAGATTGTAGGAAAGGTGGGTATCAATTCTCCATATTTTATTTACTGATGCTTGTATGAATGATCTACTTGCAAAGATTAGTTGCCATTTGATTTGCAGAGAACTTCTGCACTGTAAATTATTGTTGATGGTAGAACAAAGGTGATTGTCCTGACATGAGTTAAATACCCTGGGATTATTACTAATTAGCAAAATCTTATTAGCATATATGATCACAAAACCTTTTCCATAATGAACAATGGAAAATAGGAAAAAATGAATATGTTTCCAGTTTGGGATATTTTTTGCCTGAAGGGTTCACCATTAAAGTGTAATTCCTATAGCAAAAGTTTGGATAACATTTTTTGGAGCGTGAAATGATGTCACCCTAGATAATTAGTCTTGTAACATTTGATAGATAGTTAACACAGAAACAATGCAATACCAAAAATCTTGATACAATCAGTAAATTATTCATGTTATCCATCATTGACTATGGTAAAGAGATCATTTAACATTTTGATGTGTTATCTGGGATCTGTTCACTTGTTTATCTGTACATGTTTATCTGGATGAATAACTTGTGTGCCAGAAAACTGCTGTTAGAAAATATACTATTTTGAATGGAGGTATTTACCAATTTTCACACAATCACATTCAATGACTGGGTGAGTGAGTTGCAAGTTTTGATTTTGGTTTTAGGTAGTAACTCAATTTTTTTTTTCAGCGAACTGAACAATACTGTTATAGAAGTTCAGAAAAGAATAAGACAAGTTCCACCCCAACTAGTTTTCAGAGATGCAATCCAGAGCTATTTGCAATCTAATAATCGATTACTTATACTGGTATGCTCCATTCCATTCATTCAGTTATGATTTTCAGAAATTTTGTTGATCTCAACAGTAGTTCTGAACAGTATGTTCTTTTTTTCCATATCTGAGCTTGGAACTAAAATTTTCTAGCTGTAATTCCTTCTTACTTGAGGATAATTTTAACAATAAACAACATCAGAATAACTGAATAGATATACTCAGGGCTTTCAGATGTACCCTTTGGTCAGAGCTACTTCTAGTAAGTTGTTTATAATTTTCCTAAAAGTAGTATGTTACGAATGTAGAGTGCATCTGTAATTTCAAGTTTCTGTTTTTCTTTTTCTTTCTTATTTTTACTGCATTTTTTAGTGATTTCACATTATGAACTTGTTATCTTAAACTATTTAGCTACAGTACTGCGACAGGGCAAAGACATGACTGGGTCCTTTTCTTCTCCCTCTTTTTGGATGGGGCATTGGGAACTTCTCATTAATTAAGCTTTCCATTTAAACCACTTATTTTCTAGCTATTTTATCTGCGTGAAAACCTTGCATACAAGTAAAACCTTTAGATGGAAATTTGTCATTCCCTACCCTCGTTATTTCCATTTTGATGTGGAGTACATTTAAATATTTGAAAAGCATTTACAGAGAGTTTTCAACGTGATATGACTTTTGATGGAGTTCTGAATTTGGTTGATGGTAATTATATAACTAAAAAGTCAATCAATTCAAGGTGGGAAGATGAGCACTGATCTGGAATAGGATAAGGCAAAAGCTTTGAATATACAAAAATGTGGCAGACAAGATGGACACAAACCTGAAAACGTTAAAATAGGAAGATGCAGAAAACTTATTCTGTAGATGTTGAGAAGCGGAAAATATTTCAAGACTATTTAGTGTCTCCTTTTTGGAAGTAAGAAGTAGATTACCTTGCCATTGAAAGCAAGGAAGATTGCTCTTTTTTTATCAAGTGGCAGAAAGAATGTTCTGATTACTAACTGATGGTTATTGGATTTACTCCTGAGACTTGATTTTCATTGGATCTTAATTGGACTTATTTCAATTACCTTTGAAATAAATCAGAACTGCAGATGGTGTGAGTAGGGGCTAGATTCTATGTCAACCAAAAAATGCCAACTGGTAGGATAATTTAAAATAGCTTCACTCACTTGAGAAGTGAGATGGTTTCCAAGTAAGAAATTATTCAAGTCACAGAAGTACCTTGGTACCCGATTCTGTTTAATTTGTTTTATATTAGGTGACTTTTCTATATCAATTCTCTGAATAATAATAAATGCCACTGTTTTTAGAAACTATGGCTGGACAAAGCTCCCGAACTGAACTGGATCGAACCGGACCCAAACCGAACTGAATCAAGATGAACGGTTCTTCTTAAGTTAAATACCCGAATGAGTATTTGAATCGAGAACCGACGGATTCAGTTCAGTTCTCAGTTCTAAACCAAGAACCGAATAAGAACCGAATCTATCTAATTTTTTTAATTTTTTTTTAAATAAGTCAAATTATTTTATTTTTTCTAAATGAATTTGTTATCTAATTAATTTAGCTCAAACGTAAAATATGATTTTACTATTTCTAATTTTCAGCCAGCCCAACTTAATCAAATTGACCCAAATTTTACCAATATCTCTTATTCTACCGTAGTGTCGTTTCTGCCGTTCTATTATTGTGAACTGACTATCTTCCTCTTCTTGTGATTTAATTAACAGTCAAATTTATGAAAAACTCAATAAAGAGATGCTCAAAAGATATCACTTGATTTGACTATATTATTTTGTAAAAATTAATGTTGAACATGTTATAGTCGAACTAATGTAGCGTTGTTGTAAATATTAAAAAAATATTTATTGTACGAAACTTGGGAACCAAACAGAACCAAACAGAACTAAACCGAATGGAACCGAACCTAAACGGTTCCATAATTAAATTTGGACCAAACGGTTCCACTTACTAAATACCTGAAAATTTTAGTTCAGTTCGGTTCTCTTCAGAATCGAACTGAACTAGACCATGTCCAGCCCTATTAGAAACAGTAAAACAGATCTCCTAAAAAGGGTCAGATATAATGAAATCTAGATGACATGCATGCCTAGTCTGATAGAAATACCCTACTATTATTCGAGTTATAGTTTTATAATAGACTATTACCATAAACAAGAGCTATATACATTTATTTTGTTTGTTAACAAACAGGGTTTCAATGCTACACTAACTGAACCAGTCGACAATCTTGGAAGAAGAGGTGGTGATCAAATTAAAGAAATGGATCTGAAATTGCATCCTGAGTTGAAAGGACCTCTGACAAAGCTTTGCAGTGATCCAAATACAACTATTGTAGTACTCAGTGGAAGTGATAGGAGTGTCTTAGATGATGTACGCCATCTACTATTCTCTTGCCTTAACTATTGCCTTTATGTTCTTTTGTGAGCTGGTTGCTTTTGCAGAACTTTGGTGAGTACAATATGTGGTTAGCAGCTGGGAATGGAATGTTTTTGCGTTCCACAAGGGGAGCATGGATGACGACAATGCCAGAGCATTTAAGTATGGACTGGGTTGATAGTGTAAAGGTATGTCATGCTTTGGTTATGTCTTCACTATGTCCACGTTGAACCTCCCAATAAGTTGGTGAGTTTCTCATAATTCAGCATGTTTTCAAGTATTTCACTGAAAGAACGCCAAGGTCGTGCTGTGAGCGTCGTGAAACTTCACTTGTATGGAACTACAAGTATGCAGGTAAGAGTTGAACGATTTTCTTTTCCTTCTAATTTGATTATCTTTTTGTTCATTTGCTTTCCCCTCACTATAATCTCAGATGTTGAATTTGGAAGATTGCAAGCTAGAGACATGCTGCAGCATCTTAGGACTGGTCCAATGTATAACTCGTCAGTTGATGTAGTCCAAGGAAGCCGCTCAGTTGAGGTGCGGGCAAATGGTGTTACAAAGGTAACTACATCTCTAATAATTGAAATCTTGGATTATTTGTGTGAAGCCTTCTTGGCAGGCACTTTGGTTACAATAAAATTTTTATATTTCTGGTCTTCGTTTCCCTTCGCTGTGTACAGGGAGCAGCTATTATTCATATACTTGGAGAGATAGTTCACAGTAAAGCCATTTGTATTCCAATAGATTGTGTTTTGTGCATAGGGCATTTCTTATTAAAGGTACATCTTTTCATCTTTGTGATTGCCAGGTTTATATTACTATCATCATGGTGGATTTAAATTTTATGTGTGTCATTATGTACTTTTAACATGGTCAATTAGATTTTCCGTGTTAACTTTACAGCATTAGAACTCTGATTTTCCAACTGGCTAAGTACTCCAGGACGTGTTTTTATTTTATTTCCTAGGAATCTGTCAATCATCTCGAAATCCAAATTCCCACTGCAGGAAAACTACAAGCAGCTAGCAATTTACATAGTAAAGGCAGGAGGTTAGATAAAAATATTTTGTAGGTTTGATATCATACTGTTAATCATACAGAATCCATTGAAATTTATAAACTGGAGGTATACATGGTAAAAAAAAAAGGAAATATAGATATCTACACTGAGCCTTGGAGAGGCCACTTGAAGAGTTCATTTTCTCTCGAAGTAACAATTTCTAAATGTGTGTGCATGTATATATTTCGCTGCATGAACGCATACATCTGATACATGTTCTCTTTGGTGGTCCTGGCTGTTGTTTACTCTGCAGCGTGTATGGGGTCACTTGTCAGCAACAGTCATCATTACAGATTATATTCGTCGACCACAGTGGGAGACTCCTAGTTCTAGGTGTAACTAATCATTAATTATCTCTTGAGAAGGTAGCATTCCGTGGTGGCGCCTAAAAACCCACTAAAATTGTGTTGATGTTTTGCTTTTAAAAAAATGCACTATTTACACCACATTTGAATGCTCTTCTTCATTTGGATGGGATAGGAAGCATTTATATCAACTATTCCTTGATTCCTCAACTTTTTCTTCCTTTTTTTCTTAATTCAGGACGAGGATGTGTACACATTTTTCGAGCCAGAACTTCCCCCAGACACTATAGGTATGCCAAGAACAAGAGCAACCGATGCAGTGAAGCTTGCTACTGAGAAACAGTCATCTCCAAAGCTCCCTTATGCTAGAAACAGCACGAAGTCTCAGGGTAAGAGTCAGCAGTATGGACCAAACCTGGACAAGGAAGCAAGCAGAAGCCGCCGATCATCACCAGAGAAGATTTCGTGGAATGTGCTCGATCTCAAAAAGGAGAACTATTTTTCTTGTGCTGTTGGCCAGACTCGCACAAGTGCCCGATATCTTCTCAAGACATCAGATGACGTCGTTTCATTTCTCAAAGAAATGGCAGAAGCATCCTCGAACACGTCATCATCAGTTTGATCGATCTCGCAATGCCTATACTTTTGACCTTCCAGTATCTATCGTCAAGTTTTCTAGCTCCTTTCATGTTAACTATTCTGTCTCTTGTAGCACCCCGAAACATCTAGACTTCCATATAAATATATAGGAGGACAATCTTAAATAAAACAAATACAGAGAAATATTGTCTTAAATCACCTCTCTCTTTCTATGTACATTTGGTTGTGTATCAATACAACTGTGCTAGCTTCTATATGTTTGCACCAGGAGTTGGCTACAATCTGGAAAACAGGCACAGGGTCCAGTTTACCTGGATTTACAGTGTGTAGAGTAGTTTCTTAACTGTGATTCACTTGAAAAAGATGATTCATAGAGAAGGCCATCTTTAAGAAAAAAAAAATCTTTAATAATTTACTGTAAAATACAAATATAATTGACCATGATATTGTCAATATCGCGATGTAGCAATTCTTTTTAGGAAATACAAGTAGAGTGTGTTTATTTAAATAAAGTGTATTTTTAATAAATTATGTAAAATTATCTAATTAAATGAATACAATAACAATGGATTTTATTTATTTCGTTAAATTAGTAGGCAATAATTGTTTAATTTTTTGGTTAGTTTAATGTGTCTTTAATTGATTGATGCTTATTTAATCGAGTAGATTTGTTGAATCGGGGTAGAACTCATATAGATGGTAAAATAATATTAAAATATACAGTATGAAACACAAAAAATAAAATAAAATTACTTTATAAATTATAAATATAACACCTCAACATTGTGCTCTTTTCATTACATCTAAGAAGTGATTCATGGAAGAAAAAAACTGAATATGACAGATAGAACCATCATAGCAACTATCCCAGTTTTCTGAAAATGTAAATTACACTAAAAATAAGCTGCAGCTCAGCTAGATAATGGCTAAACATACTTGTACAAAATCCAATATTAGCAATCAGTTTGATAATCTAAAATAATTAAGCAGAAGGGGCCTTCCTGTTGGGTTCAAAAACATACTTGATCAACGACTCCTTGATTGAGAGCAAATCGGGGAACTCTTTCTTCAACTTGGAGGCGTCCATTTCGTTGTTACTTCGAGGAGCAATAATCACCTTAGCTTGCTCTTCGAGTGTGAAGTTAACCCATTTGAATTCTGGATCAATGTACTTCTTGTACATCTCCAAAATTTCGTTGTGGCTCACAACACCTGGGTTTGTGAAGTTCCAAATGCCCCTGAGGTTCCGCTTTGCCATCTCGATTGAGATAGGAAGAAGCTCGTCCAAGATGGTCATGCTATTGGGAATATTAACCACCTTGTTATACTTAGAAATCTTGGTAATGAAGTTTCGTGGATTGTTGAGGTCAGAAGATATTGGCATTCGAACTCTGAGTGTGCAGACATTGTCATATTCTTTCAAGAGCTCTTCCACCTGATTTGACAAGTCAAATAGAACAAATTAGTAAATCACACTTGTGCATAAAGCTTCGGGCATATCAAACATCATTAGATAAATAAAAGCACATAAAAATGTAGTAATGTAGAGGAGTGGGAAATACCATGGCCTTGGTTTTTGAATAAAAGGAACCGATGAAATTGGGCGTGTCTTCCTCCTTAAACCCAATGCCAGAACCTTCAGGGTGTGTAGCATTATATTCAAATATACACCCTGTGGCAAAGTTCATCATCAGGAGTCCGTGCTCTCTGCATACATCAGCTAAGGTCAGTGTACCAGCAACATTGGTGCGAATTGTTTCCGTCTTGTGACTCTCACACCAATCAACATTGGGTCTACCAGTCACACCAGCAGCATTAAATACATGAGTTGGCTTAACACTGAGGATGTCCGCCAACATCTGTGAGCGATCCTGCAGGCGTCCCTTTCCATACTCGTATGGAATCCCCTGTTTCTCACATAATTTTCCAAGCAAACCGCCAATCCACCCAGTCCTACCATAGATCAAGAATTTGAACGATGGTTTTTGAGATGTATTGTTTTTGGAGGCAGGAACCACCATGTGGCTCTGGTTAGACTTGCTCAATAATTCAGACTTTTTAGACTCGTCCTTGTCAGCTCCATCAAGTTTTTCAATTCCACAGGGCATCATGAGCATTCTAGGATGAGGAACCAGTGCTCCAGATACATCACCCCACCAATCAGGATTGCTGGTATACCACTCCATGGTCTTTCTTAAACCTTCATTCCATGTAGTCCTCTCAATCCAACCCAAATTCTTCAGCTTCTGATCATCAAGGAAGTATCTCTGATCATTGAATGGCCTGTTATCCACAAACTGAATGCTTTTGTCTGGATCCATGTTAAATAAATTGCATATATCTTTGGCGACATCAATCACTCTTCTCTCCTTCGTCGTTCCAATGTTGTAAACATGACCAACTTCTCCCTTGTGAAGAACGCATTCGAATGCCTCAGCAACATCCTCACAATAGAGATAACTTCGTACATTAGAACCATCCCCATGAATAGGAAGAGGCTGCCCTCTCATGGCTAAAAGGATGAACTTGGGAATTAACTTTTCGGGAAACTGATTTGGACCATAAACATTGTTTCCTCGGGTGGTTATCACAGGCAATCCATATGATCTACCATAAGCCATAACAAGCATTTCTGCCCCAGCTTTTGTGGCTGAATATGGGTTTGTCGGCAGAAGTTGCGATGCCTCATGATTTCCTACAACTGCATCCTCGTCAGTCTCTCCATAGACCTCATCCGTGCTTACGTGAATAAATCTTTTGATTTGTCCAGTAACTTTGCAGGCCTCTAGTAGAACATGGGTGCCGTATATGTTGTTCTTGGTGAACTCAAAACTGTTACCAAAAGAATTATCAACATGGGTCTGAGCTGCAAAGTGCATTATAGTGTCAATGTTCTCAGTAATGAGAAGGTAGTTGACAAGATCATCACTACCGATATCCCCCTTAACAAACTTGAAGTTAGGGGAAGAATTGGAAGGAAGGAGGTTCTTAAGGTTAGAACAGTAATCAAGCTTGTCTAGGACAACAATCTTGTAGTCAGGATAGTTTCTGATGAGCCTATTTGCAACATGAGATGCAATAAATCCGGCAGCACCAGTAATGAGGATATTCTTGGGTGTATATGTCGCCATTATTGCTCAAAATCTGCAACTGGGAACAAAGAAGAAAATGAGAAAAAAGGTCAAATCTAATAACAGATTCACCAAGGAAATCAATGCAAAATTCTAAACAGTATTTTATGAATAAAGTAATACAACAAGAATCTTACTACATAAAACCAAAGATTATCTTTAATTGTTAGCTCGGCACAATGAAAGGAAAGAAATGATTACGTGAAAGTCAGAGATTCCATAAATTTTCAATATGAAATGACATTAATAAACCAGGAATCATTGAAGATATTAATGCAATAAGGCTTAGATTGTATCGGAATTCATTTATTCAAATTTAAAAACTTTTATTCCTTGTTTAGGAAAAGTAAAAGCAGAAATTAATCAATTACAGATAATTACAAGTACGAGAAAGATTTAACATCAACAGTTGCGCCAAATTGGAAATGGTTAAAAATGATAAGTTTGCTCCGGGAAATGATTAATCCCAATCAGAAATTGATTAGAATGCAATAAACAGAAGCAGCAGCATAAAAAATTAAAATGCCGATCAACTCAATTTTTTCAGATCCGATTAGAAAAATACATATAATAAAAAAAAATACTTGATCCAACAAACATCAAACGACATGCTGTAGAAACAGAGAAAGTACAACCTTATAAACACAAGAGTATATGCAAATACAGATCTGAATTAATTGAAGCAATGCCATTTACTAGTAACAGATCCAACATAATTAACAAAAACCCACATGACAAAACTAAATCTTTCGCTGAAATTAGATGGAAATGAAGCAATGGCCAGATGGTGACATTAATTAACACACGATATGGTAATAGATCCAACATAATTTACAAAACCCAGATCACAAAAGTAAATACTACGCTCAAATTAAATGAAAACGAAAAGCGATCACTTGATCACTTACATTTTTTTAATAATTCAGATCAAATTCCACCAAGCACACCAAAAAATCCCACTCTAGAGAAAGAAAAAAGGCGATGAAAATGCTTCGTACCAACTAACGAAGGAATATGAATGACTCGGTGGCGAGAAGTGAGGAGAGTCACTAACATCTTCCCCACAGATATACATATATACAGAGACTCAGACTCAAATTCTTGCAATTTTTTATTATTATTATTTTTGTATTTATTACAGTTTAATTACAAGTTATCGGGTCCGGGTTGAAGACCCGGTTTGTGAGTAGGTGAAGGGTGAGGTTTGGTAGGTGGAGAAAGAGCCAAAAAACAATCATGCTATATGTACATCAACTAATATATCATATTTTATATTATGCAACGTGATATCGTATCATTGAATAGTTCAAAAAATAAATAATTTTCTACAATCATCTTTTAACACCAAGTCAAATGTCAAAAGCATGTACATTTAGCCTTTTTGGCCTAAAAATAAGCAATGGTTAAAAATCTTGTCACGGATGTTGCGCTTCGAACGGCATTAAACATTCGCTAAGAAGTTTAATTCCTACATTTGCTCATCTCGTCAAGCACCAAGATCACATGTAGTCATCGATTTGTAACCAACATAGAGTGTAAACCATGTGATTTGACCAAATTTTCGAACACCATCATGAAAATCGTTCAAAATTCTATTGCATTATCATGTGACCTTTATAAGTTCGAATTCATTACATCTTGTTTCATTCAGAAATAAGATGCTACACATATTTTTACAAGAGTAACGTGTTGATTAAGATTTTTTACGACTATAATTAAAGATTGAAAATTGACTTACTCTCTTCTAAGGGTTTGTTTGTGTACCCTTTTTTTGGACAAGCTCATTTTGTACTAGTGATTTTTAAAAGAATGCAATTAAAAAGTAGGAAAATAAAATTTGAGTTTACGTGTAAAATTATTTATTGAGTGTTGAAAATGAACTTGAGAAAAA